ACCTGTCCATCTCATCTAGGTATTAATAATAAAAGCTCTAGAAGGTAGGTATTCATGCAGTGTGTTTTTACACCAGCAGTACAGTACTGTTGTTTTCACTGACACGGCTGTTTTCCTTTTTTGCCTGATTTTTAACTGCTTTTTTATTTTCCAGTTACTTAGTATGGTATTTCTGCCCAACTTGCACACAATGGATTTTGTTATGTGTGATCACCAGTACACTGATTTAATCAATATTTACAGCAATTATTTATGTGTGTGTGTGTGTACACTTGAGCAGTGACTGACTTTCCTGATGATAGAATCCTGTAATTGTGGCATTTCTGAAATGGCAGTTGCTACGTTCAGCCTGTATTTTGTTTTTTAAATGGATCTGTGCAATTTCAGAGTAGCCCCCAAAATCAGTTCAAGCAGTCTGATCATTATAGGAATAATAATTTTTGTAGTTTCTCTTTGCCTGGAAGTTTTCTAAAGGAACCACGCTGAAGTTTGGTGGGTGTTTAGTGTCCTTCAAAATCACAGTGCTGTAGATTGCTCTCTGCAGGCTGTGGCTGTCCCCAGCGTGGATCCTGCCAGCGCTGCGCAGGCGCTGAGTGCTCCCGACCTGCACCATGCTCCCTATGCCTGCGGCATGGGGGTGGTGCTTGGGAGAGTGGAAGAAACCCAAATCTCTTACCATCCTCATCCACCTCGTCTATCATCTCCTGCAGCTCTTCAGGGGTGGGGTTTTGCCCCAGCATCCGCATCACCTTCCCCAGCTCCTTGGTGCTGATGCAGCCGTCCTCCGCCCCCAGCACGAAGATGTCGAAGGCAGCCTTGAACTCTGAGGAGGGAGGGGAGAGGAGATGTGAGGGTCTTGCCCCACGCCTCGACCCTGCAGGTGAGCAGCCCTGGGGCCGGGGGCTTGCCCCTGGCACAGCCTCCCCTGCCCATGCAACTCAGCACTGCCTGGGCACGGCATGGCAAGGACAACCGGGCACACGCACGGAAACCACCTCGCTTGAAATGCTGGTGGATCAAAATCCCTGGGTTATGCCCTGCTTTGGCCAGCTGCTAGAAGGGCCGCATTTTCTGGGGTGTAATTGCTGAGGCAGGCTGGGCTGCCAGCTGGGGACTTTGTCTTTAGGCTGCAGTGTCAGGTTAAAGATGCACCTACCATTTTTTTGCTCTTCTGTCAGCTGCTCAACCTGTAAGGAAAACACAGAGACCAAATCATTTTTCTTCCTTAGCATCACTGATGGTTAAAAGGTAATGTTATTTGTTCGACACCCTTTGCAAAGGTCAACCAAGCCTTACAACAGTCACCCTCATGGACTACGGGATAGACAACCAGTGGGGTTTTGACACCACAACTTTTTGTAGTCTGAGATTCTTCCCGTTAAAAGAAAACTATTCCCAACTCCTTTGAAGTGAGCATCATTTCTCTAGAGTGGCACTGTCTATCATAATTAGCATTTGCACAAGCAGGGAAGACCCACTGGGAAAAGCATTTGTCTCTGTCAACCATTTGGGGATAATTTCTTGTTGCTGGGAGGCTTCACAGCAGGACAGCCGTGCCGTTGAGGGCTGCTCATGAGTGGGCTGAGGCCAGGTCAGAGGTGAGGCATGCTGGCGAGGTCCCTGGGGAGGGAAAGGCGGACAAGACCATCCCCGGTAGTTGTTCTTCAGCCCTAGAGTCAGGAAATTCTCTGCACTATCCAGAACATTAAAAGCTGGTCTGCTTCCCTCCGAGTCAGTGTTTATTACAAAGGTTCCAGCCTCTGAAGGGAGCTGCTATTCCCTTTAGCCTGTTTTGGATATCTCCCCGAAGAAATGGCCCGTGGAGCCATTAGGCATTAGCCAAAATAGGCTGGCAGATTGTTCCCAAACCCTACCCTAATTCATTCCCTGCAGACCATCAGCGGGAGCTTATTAGTTAGCATGAATTAATGAAAATGATCAATGAGGAGAGCAAAGAGGAATCCATCAGCTCTGTGTCATGCCTCTTTAAGTGCATTTCGCTCTTTGGCTTCGTTCCTGCCTGCAGGTACCGCTTATCTAAAATTGCTGACCCCGCGGCCGTGTCCAACTGCTCCTTCAGTAGCATCTATTAAAACGCTGACTTTTCCCTCCCAGGCTGGTCGACAGCCTCTCCGGAGTCAGCCAGACATGACCCCTGCCAGGACTACCTCTGGCCCATGCAGAGGGTGCCTGACCCCACTAATGTCTCCTTACTACCGCCTCCGTGCCCCGTGTGAGCAGCCCACAACACCCTTCCCCGCCATGTTTCGCTGGGGGCAGAACCCCACAACCCAGGGTTGTGTCACCCTGCCTTTGAGGGAAGGCTGATGCTTTTGCCCCAAAGAGTAGTGGTTTTGCAAAAGCCAGCTGGAAATACTTCCCGCTTGCAGCGAGAGGCGGGGAAAGTGCTTTTTCTTAGCGGGGCAGAGCCTGCGGGAAGCGGGCAGAGCGCCTTATCCCACTCCCCACGCGCCAGGAGGTGAAGTCTTTCAAGTCAGAAAGCGCTAAGGACGGCGGCAGGATTGCCGTGGCGGGAGGAAACCCAAGCCCGCTGTGGCCCTGGCGCCACTGAAGGCAGGCAGGCAGGCAGGCAGACAGGTGCCCTCTCGATCGA